CCTCTCTGTGTTCTGCCTGTAAATAATGAATAATTGGAATTACAATAAACAGGCCTAGACACACACACACACACACACACAAATACATATTACAATGTGGTAAATGTGCACAAAGAGAGAAATAATTTGACAATTACACCTTCATATTTAGACAGCCACACACAAATGCCTGCACACACACATAAATATTATAGTGTCATAATATTATACGATCTATCTGCGGCACGTCCATGGCTAGAACTTTCTGTGACAACATGTGCATCTCTCTCACTGACTACTTCGTCCCGATCAGATTCAGAATTATCAAATATAGAGTGATCGGACTCCGAGTCCATTAACCTCCAGTACTTCAGCCATATACCTCTGCATTGTCTGTCTGATACATTCTCACTACTCCACTGTTTGAGACGATTGCAATCTGTTTCTCTGATCAAAGAGTTGCGCACTCATTCAGAACATGCGCGCGGGTCTTCCTTACCGTATACCACCTAAAACACGGATACCCGGAAAATTCCGTGTTTGGCGCCGGGGATGCGTTTTTTCATTAAACCCGGAAAATTCCGTGTTTGGCGGGGAAAGAGTTAAGCATTTGCCTATTTAAATCCAAGCAGCGACTTTTGGCCAGCCAGTGTAATGCATAAATACTGTTTATATTATTATCTTTTTTTTTATTTCAGAAATAAAAAGCGCACTATGAGTAAGTTGTTGAAACTGATGCCATCCTCAAAATGCTGGTCACGGACACGTCACTGGTTGAAGACCAAGGTTTTAAAAGCATGATCAGTGTCCTCGACCCAGGATACACCCTTCCCTCAAGACCGCATTTTACTAAATTGATGGAGAGAAAGTATCAGGAGAGCCACTGAAGCCTACCTTGGCATTACATACCATTATGTAGGAGATGAGTAAAGTCAAGATGATGTCTTTCTGCCTCACAACCATGCCACTTGGAGGCAGACATACAGCTATGAACATCGCAGATTAGTTGGAGGACGTAGAGGCAAAGTATGAAACTCCCTAATGTATGTACATGTATGCCTAATATTATGGCTGCAGCAAACATACTGGAGAAGAAGCTTGGATGGGCCAGTGTCTGCAGCACTGGCCACACATGGTGATTGCTTCTGCATTAAAGAGTACAGGCATTGAAAATGCTGTAAAGCTGCAAGATGTTTTGTTGAACATTTAAAAAACGAGCGAACTAGCCAACACTCATTAAAGTCCCTGTAAAGGCAATTCTACAAAAAAGTTCTAAACACATTATAAATGTTACATATGTATTGCTAAAACATATTACAAAGACTATGAACTGTGAAGTACTGAAATGTGGAGTTAGACCGTTAAACAGTTTTTCACCATTGCAATTTTACAGATTGTTTGGGCGGGGCTAAAACAGGGCTCGATGACGCACTGGAGCCCATGAGCTCCTGGACACGCCCCTATTTGATGACGCACAAAGTCTGATATCTCCCCTAACACACAATAACACTCCCCGAGCACATTCGCATTCACCGCTCAATCGCGAGTGACTGTCAGTAGGCTACAATTCAAGTTACTACAGCTGAGCCTACAGTTTTCTAGCTAGCTATGCCTTCAACACAGAAATGCATTGGCTACTACCTGGATGCGATCATGTACAAAGCAGATATCTTTATTTAAATTCCCTAAAAACAATCACATCAAGAAGAGGTTTTTAGAGAGCCAACCTTGATGAAGAGCTGAGGATCACCGCCAACACCTGCCTCTGAAGTGATCATTTTACACTGGATAGTTTTATAAACTTTCCTCAGAGACAACTGGGATTCACTGATGATCCGCTGTTACTGGTGAACGGGGCCGGACCGACTATCTCCCGCCTCAGCGTTCATCCTCCCATCCCGAAAGCAGTTTCACCTAATATCACCGTCGACAGCTTTCCCGCGAGTGGGCGTGGTTTCAGCGCAGCCAGCGGACACGCCCCCAGCGTTTGAGAACAGAGATAACTGCTCATTTTTTAATGATTTTGATAGCTTATTTTATGTACTTGCCGGCTTTATCATTCAAATTTGGCTGGGTGGCTAATAACACATTTTTCTGTGGTGGGACAAACTTAATTTTGACTTTACAGGGACTTTAAAGGACTTACATGTTATCATAGATGCACAAATTAAACATATCCACTTCAACTCTGCAAAAGTTGTTCAGTCCATATGGAGAACTGGAGAACCAATGCGGTAGTGCGATCGATCGGCTCTTCAGCAACTGATGTATTGTAGTAACCACTGCTTTGATTGGTTGTTCCTTCCCAACAATCATTAGCCTAAATGTGTCAGTGTTATAATTTATTATAAAATTTGGACAACCATGTCATTTCATTCAGCTGAATCTATTCCAAGACAGTTAATGTTTCGCTCCGTAATCAACAACCCACACAGCTAAACACACCTAATTGACGCGAAAAATATGACAGTAAATCACAAATTACACATGCGTCCATTGTTGTTCACTTAGGTCCACCTTTCAAGGCCTTTGTGAGACAGAACAAATTTAAAAATGGCTCCGTCTGCTCCCCAAGAAGACCCCAACCTAATCGAGGAGCGGTAATCTTTTTACACAGTCGTTTAGGTCAACAGAGAGGGCTCTGTCAGTGGGACTAAGACACCAGTTTAATGCCAACGGAGTATTAAGGAGGATTCTTGGTTCACAGAGATCATCTCCTCAGACTACACTACACTCTGTCTGCTGCTTATTAATCTTTTGAGTTTAAACAAACCAATTAGAAAAGAGTTACATCAACCGAGTCAAGATAAGGCGGCGTGTTAAACTTGTTTTGTGTCAACAGTCCTGTAGGCAATTAAAAGGTCACTTGATTGCGGTTACATGTTTGTGAGGAAATTGACCACCTGTTGTGCTTGTGGCTCCAATGACAGACCCTTTGCCGTGGTGGGGAGATGGGTTTAAGATGGCATGTGCTGCTGTCTGGCTTTTGTGTGTGACCTTGCACTGCTTAAGACTTTAATAAGATAGATACACAAATCAAAAGAAAAAAGCAAATCACTGACTTCAGCTCTCTAATTACCAGTAAATCACACAGGGGTCACTAATTAGGCAGAGCTGGATCCAGAGAGCAGCCACCATATGGCACCGGTGTCGTTGTCGGGGCCCGTGCGGCTCCCACAGCCTCACAAGCGGCTAATTGTTTTCTTTCCCTGCTCCCCCTATTTTCATTTTAGGTCTTTGTTATCTTCAGAGAACAAGTTTTATGGTAGGCTAAGCCGCTTAGCTGATTTAAAGTGGGTGCTTGCGGATACTAGCCGGGGTACAGGAGCAGACAGGACTTCTGCTGAGGAGATGCGTTTGTGCTCTGAAAGTTAGAGGGAGTTAACAATTGTTGATCTGAGAGTAGCTGTTTGGTCATAAAAAGACAATTTGGTTCACAGTGTAAATACTGTATGACTCATGAAGAGAGAATGGCTAGTTTTCCGCAGTGTGACATGCTACACGGCATGAAAAACTAAATATTTATGCAGGTGTGTATTTGTTAATAATATTTATTGTAAAATATGTATAAAAATTCATACATAAAACATATCTTATTAAATGTATTTTTCTTAAAATGTTGAGAACATATTTATTGTTTGTAAATTATACATGATTATATAACTGACATCAGTTCATATCAATGTTGTAAGTATGCAAAAAACGTAAAAAATTATTAAATGTATTAAAACTTACAAAAAACGGCATAAATAAATAATACAAATATGAACAAAAAACATTTTTATTGCATCTTTTGACATTTTGATTTGTAATATTGTTACGCCATGATTATTATTTATTTAAAGTTCAAATGTAATGGGAACAAATGGAAAAAAAAAAGAGCACCAAAAACATACTTTCATGTAAATGTTGACCTAAAATATTGACGTTGAACAAATATTTTATAAACATCATGCCTTCATAAAAATGTAATTTGAATTTCAGTTATAAGGACACACACAAATATGCCTCAGTCAATCATTGTTAGGCATCATTTTTCTTTTTGAGTAAAAACAAGATTTAAATCCTGACTAACTCGAGCCAATAGAGATTAGCATTGCCTCATCGTTAATAGTGGACAGTTGAGGATTAAACAATAATGAAATACCATAAAACTTTGGGGAAGAATCGCCTAGCAGATGCTCCCTACAGTCTGTGCACATGTACGTAAGAAATATGATTCATTTAAAATAAAATAAAAATGAAGAGCATTTGTTGTTACACATCAAAATGTGTAGGTACAGAATACAGTAGACAGGCATTAGCATTCCTTCATATCTCATGTCCTGTGTAGTTAAAAATGTCAGTGTGAATTTGGATCACCGATCATAACAAAAACAGGTGTTGACCCATGAAATCAATATTGATTACTGAAACTTAGAAACCACTGATAGCCAAATCACCACATACAAAATTAACTAACAGCTAACCACTGAAAGTTGTGATGCTAACAAAGTCTTCATTCATGAATTTTGAGGGAAAACTTCAAAAGAGAAGAGATGAGAGCTAGATGGACAGTTATGACTCAACCCCAATCCTTTTGTTTATTCGTTTCTATCCACACTTATTGTGGATGGAGCTAATACTGAGTGTGACTGATTGATCCACCCCTAGATGGACAGTAAAGATTAAGAGGATGACACATAGGCACTTGCTTACACAGCGCTTGCTGCTAATCCCTTTGTCTTCCTTTAGGGAGCCCACGGTAGCCTCAGAGTCACTCACTGTCCGGCATCGCTAGACTCACCAGGAGGAGGTGACAGGCCACACTGCACTTTACAAAAGCAACAGACACGAAGTTCTACGGGACAGAGATACTCAAGAGTAAAGAACGGACCAGGATAGAGTCCTTGAAGGAACTTGAAGAAACATCTAACAGTCTCAAGGCTGGACGGATCTCTTTTTAAGGACCCTGTAGGATTCCAATTAATCCACCTGGGACAGATATTTTGACCTCAAAAGCCAGATCCTTCTGTGGGTACACTTCAGAAACAGCTTGTGTGAACTTCTGCAGTACATTGAATGGAGGATCCAATGTCAGAAATGTCGATGGTACAATTTGTATCACCATCAGACTCTTCCAGGAGCAACTCAGATGACAGTCAAGAGGGTGAGTAACTGCTTCTTCAATTTACAGTAGTTTGAAGTTGACATGTGAAAAGTGGCAAAGCCTCTAAACTTTCAAACTTTTGGTGTTCTGGAATTTCATTTTTAATATTTCACCGAAAGTCCTAAAACACTATATTCTTAAAGCAAGGTTTATGTAGGCAAAATTTGGACACTTTGTCCAATAGCTCAACAAGTATGAAATGGCAGTTGAAACACCAAGAAAACACTGTCTAGAGATTGCTTTTTCCTAACGACTGGATTGGGAATAAGTGAATGTGACATGGACTAACAAATAGTTGTTTCCTTGATTTCCCAGATAAAAGCCCTGCTCCTGGCAAGATCCTGAACTCTGGACTTCTCTGTAAAGTGTGTTCGGACACCAGCAGTGGGAAACACTATGGGATATATGCTTGCAATGGTTGCAGTGGCTTTTTCAAGCGCAGTGTGAGGCGCAGACTCATCTACAGGTGAGAAAACACCTTACATATTCAACGTTGGGAGCCGAGAAGATTGAAGGCATGTTCTTTAAAAACCAGTGCAAGAACATAAACTAAAAAACTGATATTGAAATTTACAGATGTCAAGCTGGTACAGGTATGTGTCCTGTGGATAAAGCCCATCGGAATCAGTGCCAGGCTTGTCGCTTAAAGAAATGCCTTCAAGCTGGCATGAACAAGGATGGTGAGTCAACTTTTAAAGGTATCCTCTTCTTTTCGACTTCCTCTATTGTCTCCGCTTTCTAAAGCTTTCCATCCATCTCCTGTCAGCTGTTCAGAATGAGCGTCAGCCCCGCAGCACCGCTCAAGTCAGGTTAGACTCACTGGATGTGGACAAAGACAAGGAGCACCTCGCCACCACCTTGGAGCCCACTTCCTCATCCACCTGCTCTGTTATCAACCGCCCACTGCTGGGCTCCTCGATCAGCTCCAGTATCAGCTCCACAGATGCTATGCACCACTCCAACAGCCCAAAGAACGGACATCGCTTCATGGCCAGTCTGATGACGGCTGAGACCTGCGCCAAGCTAGAACCAGAGGATGGTAAGGAATGAGACTACCTTGGTCAACCAGCTACTTTTTGTTAATGAGCACCATGTCCGAAAGTTCAGAAATAGGATGGCAACAAAGTAAAACTCACTTAAAGTAAAGCTCACTTTGAACTTTGAATTTGTTCTAGATCTTTATGGTGCTTTGGAAGGCAGGTTAAAACCTCCTTAAACTGTCAGAAAAATGTGCAAAAATGCTACCATTAGGGGTCAGCTTGTCACTGAGGCAGCACCCTTAAAGGGACAATTTTGTACCTTATTTGCCCCTAAAAGGTTTACAGTTGTAACTTAAGGGTATATATTACTAGTACTAAGGCACTACTATGCCCCTTTAAGGGATATATAAGGTACAATGGTGTCTCTTTATGGACACTCCCCCAGTGTGACACACTGTTGTAACTCAAAAAGAAAATGACAATGGTCAAGGTACCTTAATATACAAAATGATACATGACTAGGTAGTGAGACAGTACTCCCTTATGTTTTGGACACGGACCAGCAGGAAAAGTTTATGTTGGTCTAATCAGACCTTTTCAACAGGCTTATAACTTTTTATCCACATTTTATGAGTTCAATTTTTTGCATGTAACTGTGTTTACAGTGGATGAGAACATTGACGTGACCAGTAATGAACCTGAAAGGAGTTCTCCGGAGTACGGCAGTTCTCTCTACCCCTCGCGCGGCCCTGAGAGTGTATATGAGACTTCAGCCCGCCTACTCTTCATGTCTGTTAAATGGGCCAAGAATTTGCCAGTGTTTTCCCATCTACCTTTCAGAGACCAGGTGAGAGTCAGGTGTTTCTCACCTTACTGTTTCTTGCCGACAAAGTAAGCTATTTTCAGACACACAATATATTAATTGGCAGGTACAATTATCTGCCAATGCCTATCAAAATAACAAATATTGTTAAATAATTGCCCCAACAATCTCTCACTATTGATAACTGCAAGTTTTAACCTACCATTTTTGTGATTTTAGGTGATTCTACTTGAGGAAGCATGGAGTGAGCTGTTTCTACTTTGTGCAATTCAGTGGTCGCTACCTCTGGACAACTGCCCCCTGCTGTCCCTACCTGACCTCTCACCCCCAGGACAGGGCAAGGGAAGCCCCTCCGCCTCCGATCTGAGGGTCCTTCAAGAAGTGTTTAGCCGCTTCAAACCCCTGCAAGTGGATCCAACTGAGTTTGCATGCTTGAAAGCAATTGTTTTGTTTAAACCAGGTAGGTTTTTCCATCTTCTTGCCACAAGGGGGCAATGATAGCAAACATTACAAAAACTATGTTGTTTTTCTGCGTTCTGCTAATCCATGCATTCTATAACAGAAACACGAGGACTTAAAGACCCAGAACAGGTGGAAAATCTACAAGATCAGTCCCAAGTGCTGCTAGCTCAACATATCCACACGCTTTACCCCAGTCAAGTCGCCAGGTGAGCAAATACACACACACAGTTTTGCATAAAGAAGTTAAAAAGTATTTTTGAGAGAAGACACTACTAACACAAATTATTTTTATGAATCTCTCTGTCTTAAGGTTTGGCAGACTATTACTTCTCCTTCCATCCCTTCACTTTGTGAGTTCAGAAAGAATCGAGCACCTTTTCTTCCAAAGAACCATCGGGAACACGCCCATGGAGAAACTCCTGTGTGACATGTTCAAAAACTGAGGAGCCTTTCTAAAAGACAGTTTGTAGAGGAAAAAAAATCCTCTAGACTTCAGGTGCTTTGCTTTACTGTCATGCTAGTTGCAGTACTATGACAATGAGTGCAATCTGCCTGAATGCAAAAAAACAAAACAAAACAAAAACATACAAATGTATTTATTATTTTGCATAGGGTTGCTTATTGGTACTCATTATGTTTTATTTTATGTCTCTTTTTATCTGTTACTGTAGCTTTTATACTCATAATAATGCTAATAAGTCTATGCATCTCAATTATGTGACACAGCCTGGTTATGTATATAATGCAAATTGCCTTCCAAGGCCATTATTATTCAAGATTATTTAGAATATGTTCGATGATCAGTTTGAAATTAAAGTGTGAAATAAATTGTTAATTGGTAAAAGTTTGAAGATATGGACTTACTAGGACTAGGACTTACTAATACAATAAAATGTATTAATAATTTTGTTTTTTTATTTCTTGAAATCTGGAATCTATCTATCTATCTATCTATTGCTCTCTGAGTGTTGCTTATTTTTGGGGTTGGCTTTGTCCGATTTATGGAAGTGACTTTAAACTGTAATCAATCAGTGAACGGTTCACTCTATGAATACAATATTAAGCATGTGATGATGATATTATTCTCACACGTCAACCCTCGAAAATTAAAAGACATGTAAAAGCATTAACAGGAACAAATACCAACCACAGACCACGAATAAACTTTATACAAGCCTATTTGTATTCAGGCTTGGGAGGGTTACTTTAAAAATGTATTCCGATACAGTTACAAATTACTTCATAAAAAAAAGTATTCAGTAACGTAATCCAAGTACCAGAATATGAAAGTAATGTAACTGATTACTTTTGGATTACTTCAAGGACAGATATTATTTAAAAAAAAAAAAAAACTTTTACTTATTATTAAGAATTTCACATCCCTGAAATATATTTATTTAAAGAGCTATAGAGACATCTAGTGGCTATGGTTTTACAGATTATTATGTATTATGTAGACTACAAAGAAATAATAAAAACACAACATTTAAAAATTCTACACAATCTGCAGTACATATTAGTTTATTTTAATATAGGAAATAAACTGTGGACTAATGCCGTGATTTTTCTTAATTTGCCTGACTGAACTTGGGCCGTTGGCAGTGGGAGTTCACGTTAGCAGTGAACATCTAAAGTGAGACTGAGAACGAAGAGATTATGAAAGGACATTTTAGGTACTAAAAAAGCTAACGTTACTCTCTTAATTTCTACAGATTCCAGCATCGCTAGAAAACTTACAACTGAGATCAAAACCACTGAATTTTAAAGCAGTAAAAACGCTACATAACAAGCTAACAACAAGGCACAGTTTGCACTGTAAAACCATGTTGTTAGAATTTTCCTCTTTAAAAACAAAATAGCAGCGGAATTTCCAAGAAAGGAAAGCATTTTACCTGTGAGCAGCATCGTTTCTAGCAGCAGTAATTCAATCGATGTCTGAGGAGATTTTTGTCGAGAGCTGAACGCAGTCGGGTGGCACACGTGACTCGTGTCGCTAGTCATAGTGCCAAAATACAGATTTACTTAGTTTTAAATGACACCATTGTAATCCTGAAAGTATCCCTTTTTCAAAAAAGTAACTATAATCTGATCACCACGCTACAGTTACTGGATTTTTGTATCTTACAACGCCGTTACATGTATTCCGGGTCCGTGTAACCATTCCGTTACTCCCCAACCCTGTTTGTATTACAACTGTTGTTATACAAATGGTAATCAATCTGCCAAAAAAGATTCACAAGAAAATAATCAGGAGGAAAAGAATGCAGCGACTGAAAACAGCTCTTTCTTCCATATTCTTGTAATGCCACGTCTCAAAATACCAAAATTTCTCTTGAAGTCTCTGAATATGAGAACGAGAAGGGATTTTTTTTTAGCTCATTCAGTCAAACTGCCTTCCACAATCTTAAACGGGGTATGCTCGTTAGGAAAAAAGGGATACACTATAACTGATATTGAAAATAATGACATTTTCCATACGAATAATTAAAAAAAGATCATACCATTCCACACATGATGCATATCACTCCCGTTACTATAGAGGGCGCTGTTGCATTGCTCCTCAGTACATGGCGTCATTTTAAACGTCGCAAAACACGGAAGTGCTTCTTGTTTTGACCATAGAGTTTTGACTGTCCATGCACTGCGCTTAATTTTTTTTTAACAATAATAAACAATCATAGTCATCACGGAATGAGCGAGATCTATTCTGACACGGCTTGACAATGTTCGGAAAGTCTTCGGGTTATGACTATCAGCGTCTGTCGCAGAGAGATCAAGTGTACAGTGACACTCCTGGATTGTTTTCATCTCATGCTGAATTCAACACTCACAATCATGACCAGAGAGGACATTCATTTGATTATGTCCCTAAAGTTTCGAAAAACGACTTCACGGGTATTAGCTCTACGTTACAGTTACTACGGTGCAAATAGAAAATATTATTTCGATCCTATTTATTATTCAAAAAGAAATTGTGATTAGGGCTCTGAATTAGGATTAGTCAATTAAGCATGATTTATCGCATATAACATAATAGTTTGTAAATATATAATATACTATATGTATGTGTCGATCAAATCGATTAATCTCATCTAACATATAGGCCTACATATTTGTGTATCTATATGCACACACACACACACACACATACAAACTTATGTTAAATGTGATTAATCATTACTAATCGATTTGACAGCACTAATGATTAAATATAATTATTAGATATTACATATAATTTCTATATAATTCTTATTTCAGATAAATCTCAAGGATTGTTGTCCTGGATTTGCAACCTGATAGTTACATTCCTGGTTTTCCTGCTTACTTTCATAACTTTTCCCATATCTGGATGGTTTGTCCTAAAGGTCAGTTCTATCGAAGCACATATTAATTGTCAGAGTTTTAGCCCTTTTTAAGCATTTATTAAATGTACAGTATTGTTTTCAGGTTGTACCAAACTATGAGAGGATAGTTGTTTTTCGTCTGGGTCGGATCCGTCCTCCTAAAGGTCCAGGAGTGGTTCTGGTTCTGCCCTTGATCGATCAGTGGCAGAAAGTTGACCTGCGGACCAGAGCCTTTAACGTCCCACCATGCAAGGTTCAATGAAATAACAGTACTTTTTAAAAACCTCACCTTGGTATACCAAATATTTTGACATTCCCACAATTTTTCTGCCAAAAGGTAACCACCAAAGACGGTGGTGTGGTGTCAGTTGGAGCGGATATCCAGTTCCGGATCTGGAGTCCGGTGATGTCAGTGGTGGCCGTGCAGGATCTGAACGCATCCACCCGTCTCACCGCACACAACGCCATGATGCAGAACATGAGCAAAAAGACCCTGAGAGAGATACAGACAGAGAGAGTCAAACTAGGGGAACATCTCGGGGTGAGAAATATTACATGTTTTCATTTTGTGATTTTTTTTTTGTCCAATATTAATGTTTTTTTGCTTGTGTGATGCAGATGGACATGAATGAGATGACGAAGCCATGGGGGCTGGAGGTGGACCGTGTGGAGCTGATCCTAGAAGGGGTGCTCCGGGAACCAGACGGGGGTCATTCGGGGCACTTAATCATGCCCCCCTCTGTCCCGGGGCTGGAAGGTCTCACCGGACCCATACAGCAGCTCGCAATGCACTTCCTGAGCCAGAGCCAGACGGCTGCGTCTCAATGCAGTCAAGGTGATGATGAAAAAAGTTCATGTCAAACCCTGCTTATGTAGTTAAATACTTTTCACGTAGAAACCGTGCGTGTCTAGGCTATGGCTAGGATTTTTTGAGACACTTTGGGAACTCCATTGTGTTCTGATGAAGTGAATAGAGTGTTTGCTAAAGGCTTCTAACTGGTAATTAAGTTATGTTATTAGTGGTTGCCAGGCTGTTGCCAAGGTGTTCTTACTAGTTGCTAGGCTGGTGGTAAGGTGTTGTGTTGATTTGACTGACAGACAGAATATTGAGACTGTAATAAATTGCTTGTTATATTCCAACGCATTCTCATCCTTTAACGTCATATAGAGCGCTATATGACAAAACGGCGCTATACTACGCTAAAGGCACCCGTTATCGTTAATATAACACGTGCTGTGAGGGCTAAGTTTAGGTGTGGGGTAGGGTGTACGTGTCATATTCACGCTAAAGGATTTATAACGTCTTGGGTTCGCGTGTTATATTAACGATAACGGGTGCCATGTGCGTAGTATAGCGCCGTTTTGTCATATAGCGCTCTATATGACGTTAAAGGATGAGAACGGGCTGTATATTCCTCACTTTGCATAAGATCATCTGTCGTATGACTAAATAAATTCACCTATGATGAAATGTTTTCAAGCCGTCATAATGAATCGTTGTGGTTCCCTCCAGATGCAGTGAGCTTCGCAGACGAGCTGCGTTCAGTTTCAGCCGCGAGTGTCAGCAGTGTGGACGGACTGATGGATGTGGTCAGATCAGTGCTGTCAGAGGAGCTGGTTCATCAGGTGGGAGCCTGTTACCACTTTCAGATCGCCACTGACTCCGGACAGACCAACAACTATTATATGGACCTGACACAAGGTAAGACTGAGAGTGTGTGAAGGAATGCTATTAAATAAACCAAAAAAAGCCTGTTTGCCAAGCCAATTTTACTGCCTACACCTGGTGTAGTGCCTGCTATTGGTATTATGATCCTAGGACGGAGCCATGGCTTAGTGATGAAGCTCATTTGGGTGATTTGGGTTCGGGCCTGGCTTGCAACATCTCTGAAATCTTTTCTACTATGGCTTATTTCTGTTACCCCCAGCTTTTCTTAATTGAGCATTAGTTTTTGGTTTGTAGAGCATTTTTCTAACATTACCCTAACCTCAGTTCATCATGTTTATTCTTACATATTCTTTCATCTTTAATCATAAACAGAATTATATGGATGCTTATAATCAGTATAAAAAAAAATCACATCTTGTTTTTATTTATTGCTTAATTTATATTTAAAAAAAAATATATCCAAGCACATCAACCATTTTATGGAAGATTAAATAAGATTAAATTTGTCCATTAATATGTAAGATTTACTAGATTTCAAAGGGAATGCAGACAGTGACAATCTGTTTTTTAAAATATGAAATTGATTGATATATTTAAAAAAATATAAATTAAAAATTATTTGACTTGAAGTGGAATATCAGTACATTTATTTCTCACCCCTGAATTGTACAGTTTAGTTTCTTCTCAAAAAGACCCTGAGAGAGATACAGACAGAGAGAGTCAAACTAGGGGAACCAAAAAACTTGATATGAATCCGAAATACTTTGTTACAAAGTCCCAAATAAATAATTAACAGAAAAAAACTCACTCTGCATGACTCGTCACTTGCCATTGGAAGCTTCTTGTAGCAGCCTACATTCCTGCAGTTTTGGCCACAATCTTGTATGCAGCTCCTTTTTAAAGCAGTAAAATGATTACAACTGAAAAAAAAAATGTATTAAAAAAAAACGAATAAAAGGATAAAAGCACATAACGAAATTACTAAACATGAAACTAAAAATAAAAGCTATTAATAAAACTAAAATGCCAAAGATGTGTTACTACACGAAACATCCATTAAAATTATTGAATGATGAATATCTGGTTGCCTATAAGAAATGCATTTTTTTACACTGTGCTTTAATCCACACTATATAAAAGTTAAGACCAACCAGATCATCCATAATCTCTCTTGCCCTACTCTACTAGTCAAAGTATATGATTACAGGCAGAGAAAAGTGATAACCACGTATTAAGATTTGGATGCACTGCCCCATTTGGGAATGGTCTCTAGAGCGTTTGTGCATTGTAATGAAATCCCCTGAATTCTGCCTCAGCTTTTCACCGTGTCTGTGTTCAGGACGTGGAGCGTGTGGCGTGGGCGTCCTGCCGAGAGAGCCGGATGTTTCTCTGTGCATGAGCGAGCAGGACCTGCTGGCCATGTTCCAGGGCGGCCTGCGACCGTTCGCCGCCTACAGCAGCGGCAGACTGAGAGTACAGGGAGATCTGAACACTGCCATGAAGCTAGAGACACTCATCAAACGCCTCAAGACCACATAACCTTATTTCAATTGATCAAAAGCCTTTGTAAATAATTTAAGGTTTACACTGTAAATGTTTAAATAGCTTCAGGGCTTAAATTATACTTTGAAAAACATTTTATTGTGATTGCATTCAAAGCCTTTCACTTCCTGGTGTGTCACTGTTGTTTTATTATTTATTATAGTGTGGAGTATTATGTGACCCAACCATTTCAATTTATGTTTTTACCCAATAAACTGTTGATTCAAAATCTGTGACTGACTCGATTATTTTCTGATTAATGTATATCTTGTGAGACTTGGATTATTGCGCACACACTTAGCAACATCCTTGAAGTTTGTTGATCCGTTGTCTTGTCCAAGGCTGACTGTCTGTCGACCTTTGACCCCCATATATTTGGTGCCCTTGCGCAAGTGTTTATACAGAAAACTTTACAACAAGGTTATTCCACTATAGCATTTTGGTGTGTATACACTCACCTAAAGGATTATTGGGAACACCATAGTAATACTGTGTTTGACCCCCTTTCGCCTTAATTCTACCTCGCATTGATTCAACAAGGTGCTGAAAGCATTCTTTAGAAATGTTGGCCCATATTGATAAGATAGCATCTTACAGTTGATGGAGATTTGTGGGATGCACATCCCGTTCCACCACATCCCAAAGATGCTCTATTGGGTTGAGATCTGGTGACTGTGGGGGGCATTTTAGCCCCAAAACAGAAGCAGATGCTCTAGAAGCAGCTGTTGACACCAGCGTCCATCTTAAACATTATCGTATAGAATGAGAATAATCTCTTCCCCGTAGAAGCCTAATCAGGATCACAATAAGGAGCTCAATAATAGCCAGTAGGGGGCAGCACATCTTATGACTGTCCCACAAAATTTGGTCCTTAGCACACTTCTCCATCATCCTTGACATGTAAAGTGGGAAGTCATATTAAAGCAAACAGCTGCTTTCCACAACAGATGATCTCTCCCTTGCGAGAGAGAGGCAGTGAGAGTGTGTGATGGACCTCTGGAGTCTGAGGGCCCGTCTGGCTCAGTGTCTGTCCACACTTAAGCACCAGCCACAGGTCAGGAAGAACCACGCGGGACGAGTACCTGCAGTCCGAAAGGACAACTCTACCGTCCTGCCCTTCAGTGAGGTTCCTGGACTGTGGAAGAATGGTGCGGCGAGTCTCTACACGTTCTGGAAAATGGATGGCCTCAGGAATATACACCGGATTATGGTGCATAATTTCAATATGTTTGGTCCCATTTACAGGTAAAACGATTTTTTTTTTACAACTAATACTCTGTGCCATATACATGAAAAAAACTGTATATTCCAGGAAAAAATGTGATTTCCAGGCCTAATTCATACACTGTAAAAAAATATTGATGGTTTAACTTAAAAAAGTAGGTAAACTGGTTGCCTTAAAATTTTAAGTTCATTGAACTGGAAAAAGTGAATTAATACAATGAAGGAGATTAATTTAACCATCATAAACTCAAAATTATATGTTATCTGAACTAAATAAATTATTTAAGTTGATTTGACAAAAGAAAAAATGTTGTGATTACTACACTGTAAATTTTTTTTTGTTGGTTTAACTTAAAAAGTAAGTAACCTGGGTTGCTTTAAAATTTTAAGTTGATTGAACTGGAAAAAGTGAGTTAATACAATGAAGTAGATTAATTTAACCATCAGAAACTCAAAATAATAAGTTATCTCAACTAAATAAATTATTATAAAGTTGATTTGACAAAAGAAAATATGTTGTGATAACAAATCTTGAAAATATTTTTTTCAGTGTAGAAATTAATTACAAAAATACTTCTATTTCTTTGCGATATGTTTTTTTCTCAAATATTTCATGACTTTTTTGGTTACACTTTATTTTAAGGTTACATTTTACTTGCTCAAATGAGTACTGAGTCATATCAATTAACTACATGTACTAACTATAGAGTTACGGTTAGGTTTAGGGTTAGTTATTTGTGAGTTACTTCGTCACCTTGAAATAAAGTGTTCCTATTTTGAAATTGGTCAAAGGTGGTAAAAAAATAACTATTTATGTTAATTTAATAAATTGTATAATGCACAAATGTGATACAATATACTAAAATACCAGAAAAATATTTTCAGACATTTTTTTTTGTTCTATATATCACACATTTTTGACTCATGAATATCAAAAAGATTTCCTATGGTTCATCCATTTGACCTAAACAAAAAGGGCATTTATAAAGCTCAAACTATTATAAATTCAAAATGATAATAATAAACCATATACTGACCTTTAGTTTTTTTTTTTTTTTTTTTTTTAAAGAAACAATGATAAAAATTTTCCTAATTTCTTTTTCTTTGTACAATCATTTATACCATAGTATATGGAAGTCAATGAGACCAGAAACTGTCTGGTTACTGATATTCTTTTAAATATCAAAAAAATCGTCTCAATACATTCGAAAACGGTAAAACTCTGGGGGAGTGAGTGGTAAAATGAGCCTATTTCCAAAAAAAAAAAAAAAAAAAAGTGGAGTATTCCTTTAAGCTCAGGGGGACTGGAATGATCTGTCTCTTCCCATTAGAAAAGTCTGTTTTTCAATCGCTTCTTAAAACCTACCTCTTCTCATTGGCCTTTGACACCTGACATTGACATTTTGTCAATCCCTCAGTTGGCATCAGTGTGAAAAAATGGATCTTAAAAGCATGCAAAAACATCTGAACATTGTGAAACCATATTCTACCATTATATGATGCCTATATAAATCTGCTCAGGGAAAAAGTTGGATACTACGAGAGTGTGAACATCATCAAGCCTGAAGACGCTGCTATCCTGTTTAAAGCTGAGGGTCATTACCCCAAGAGACTCCGGGTGGAGGCGTGGACCTCCTACAGGGACTACAGGAACCGCAAATATGGCGTCCTGCTAAAGTAGGCAGAGTCTTTCCAGATCTGCTACAACCATGTTTACTGGAATAGTAAAAGATATTGATTTGTTCCTGCAGAGACGGAGAGGACTGGAAATCTAATAGGATCATCCTAAACAAGGAGGTGATTTCCCCAAAGGTGCAGGGGAACTTCGTGCCGCTCCTGGATGAAGTCGGACAGGACTTTGTGGCTCGAGTTTATAAAAAGATTGAGAGGAGCGGACAAAATGAATGGACCACAGATTTGTCTCATGAACTCTTCAAGTACGCACTGGAATGTAAGGTTTGACGAGTTTGAGTTTGTCTTTAGAAATGAAATGCGAATATATATATATATATATATATATATATATATATATATATATATTATTCGGTGGATATACAAAGTTTCTAGTAATCGTTTATTTGTTTAACACATTTTTTCAATTATTTCTCTCTCTCTCTCTCTCTCACACACACACACACACACACACACGTGTTACCCAATTAAAAAAATTCCCCTTACATTTGATCCAAAATTATTTAGGTATTTTTATGTATACATTTTGTAGAATATATACATTTCTGTCTGTTTTAAAAATTGTTCTAATTACATGGTAATATACATTTTTAAATATTGAAAATTCCATTAGAGAAATGTAGACAAGCAAATGACAAAAGAAAGTTATTTATGATGACCCAATGTTACCAAAATGTTAAGCACTTAAAGGAGTAGTTCACTTTAAAAAAAAACTTTTTTACTCACCCCCATGTCATCCAAGATGTCCATGTCTTTCTTTCTTCAGTCGAAAAGAAATGAAGGTTTTTGATGAAAACATTCCAGGATTTTCTCCATATAATGGACTTCAATGGGGTCCAAACGGTTCAAGGTCCAAATGAGAGTTTCAGTGCAGCTTCAAAGGACTTTAAACGACACCAGACGATGAATAAGATAACTTAAGATAACTTTTTTACATTAATTTAACAGTGTTTTTTTTAAATCAAAATTACAAATGATTTTTTCAGGGATGGTTCACCCAAAACCGAAAATTCGGTATCATTCTTGTGTGGAAGTGAAGGGGATTTGAAAGCTAACACTATTTGTTCCTCTCAGCCGTGAGTGCCGTGTTGTACGGGGAGCGTTTGGGTCTTCTGATGGACTACATTGATCCAGATGCCCAGCACTTCATCGACTGCATCACCGTCATGTTCAAGACCACCTCGCCCATGCTGTTCCTCCCTCCGGCCCTGTTCCGCCGCATGGGGGCCAAAATCTGGAAGGACCACGTGGAGGCCTGGGACGGCATCTTCAACCAGGGTAACACGACGCTGGTTGCATAGGATGAAATTCATTCTGGTCTTTTTGTCGAGAAACACTACTCACTGTGAATATCAGGGCCTTTCCTCTTGAAACTTCCACTGATTTTTCATCCCTCAATGTGGTTTTCCCAAAGCCGACCGATGTATCCAGAATATCTACCGACAGTTGAGGAAAGATCCAGAAGCCAGCGGGAAGTACCCTGGTGTGCTGGCTAGCCTTCTAATGCTGGACAAACTGTCCATCGAGGACATAAAGGCCAGTGTCACGGAGCTGATGGCCGGAGGGGTCGACACGGTAAGATAAATAATCAACGCTAGAGGAAGTTCATCCAGAAATAAAAATGCCATAATTTACTCACCCACATGTCATTCCACACCTGTATGACTTTCTTCTGCAGAACACGAAAGAAGTTATTTTGTGGAATGTTTTTGTCCATACAATGAAAGTCAATGGGGTCCAAAACAAACAACATTGGACCCCTTTGACTTTCATTGCATGGAAAAATATATATATATATTCTTCAAAACATCTTTTGTATTTCACAGAAGTAAGAGAACACATGACTGAGTAAATTATTATATATTTTCATTTTTGGGCGGTGTTACATTATATAAACTCGGGTTATATAAAGTGTGTTTAACAAAAATGTTTTCAAGGTTGATGTACAGTATAGGGATATTTTCTGTATTTTTGTGTGCGTCAGACGTCTATCACACTGATGTGGACGCTCTATGAGTTGGCCAGACACCCGGACTTGCAGGAGGAGATCCGTGCGGAAATCTCGGCTGCTCGTATCACCTCTAAAGGAGACGTGATGGAGATGCTTAAGATGGTTCCTCTGCTTAAAGGAGCCCTGAAGGAAACTTTAAGGTACACACATAGTTTTATATATATATATATACACACACACACACACATATATATATATATATATATGTATATATTAGGGCTATCAAATGATTACTCGTGATTAATCGCATCTAAAAAAAAAAATTGTGTTTACATAATATATGTGGGTGCATTGTGTATAATTATTTTGTATATATATATGTATAATTATTCACACATATATACACATACAAAAAAATCTATATTTAAGAAAAAATATTATTTATATATAAAATATTTATATTTATATATAATATAAATTATATATAAATGTATATACATGAAAATATTTCTTAAATATATACAAGCATGTGTGTGTATTTATATAAAATAATTATACACAGTGCACCCACATATATTATGTAAACACAAAGTTTTATTTTGGATTCGATTAATCGCGATTAATCGTTTAAATATATACAAAACATATACATATATAAACACATATAAATATATATATATATATATATATGTATATATACGTTTATGTTAGATTTGACAACACTTTTATATATATATATATATATATATATCCATCATAAAAATATTGTTTTTAAAATAGACTTTTACAGCGATATAATTATAAACCATTTCAATATTTAGTGAGAAATTTATTTGTCAATATTTACACATATTACAATGTTGTCAGTTTTACCATAAGCAACAATATTGACAACAATTAGGTTTTATCGATTAAAACTTTTTGTTGTTCAAATTAGTGTAGAAACGAATAAACGTGACAAGCATTTTGGTTTTACCATGTGTCTAAAATCATATAATTTCTTATGAAGGTTACATCCTGTAGCTGTGAGTCTACAAAGATACATCACTGAAGACATCATCCTGCAAAATTACCACATTCCAGCCGGGGTGAGTGTGAATTTAAGGAAATTACTGAATTCGTTCACGTCAAACTGGACAAAATATGACTGTTTTCATGTGTCTGGATCAGACTTTAGTCCAGCTGGGTCTGTACGCTATGGGTCGTGATCATCGGGTCTTCCCGCACCCAGAACAGTACCGTCCCGATCGCTGGGTCAGATCCCAGAGCCACTACTTCAAGAGCCTGAGCTTCGGGTTCGGCCCACGCCAGTGTTTGGGCCGTAGGATCGCCGAGACAGAGATGCAGCTCTTCCTTATTCATGTAAGTGGATTTCTAAAGCGAGGAACATATCCTCTTAGGTGGCTAAATAACGTTGGGCTGATTCTCTTTCTTTCTTGTCATTTTTTCATCTTTATAGATGCTGGAGAACTTCAGGTTTGAGAAGCAGAGGCAGGTGGAGGTCAGGAGCACGTTTGAGCTCATCTTACTGCCCGAGAAGCCCATCATACTGACCATCAAACCACTGAACGCCAGCAGAACGCAGAGCTGCAAATGATGTCCAGGACTGAACTGGATGCGACTCTGAGCTTTAGATCGTCTTTGAGATGTCATGCCTGTCAAAAGATTGGACTCAATTTTAATTTCTCATGATCTTAAAGGGATTGTTGTGTCATCATTTACTCGCCCTTATGTCATTCTAACCTGGAACTTAATAGAAGATATTTTGAAGAATGTTCAAAACAACAACAAGAAAAAAAAATCTAAAGTAATTTTTCAAAATATCTGTTTTTGGGTTTGGAATAAAGATCCGCCGATGGGCTATTATTTCATCCACAACCACATCACAAAACTCATCATGCGTTCGCCACATAAACGCATCCAAAATTAAATATTTTAAGGGATAGTTCACTTTGAAATAAATGTTTTGTATGTTTTATCTTACCTCAAAAGCATGCAAGATGTAGGTGTCTTTGTTTCCGCTCGTTTCGTGTCTTAGGCCATCAATGTGTACTTACATTTACGAGTCATTAAATCATGTTTAATTTGGACTTCTCTGTGCATGCTCTTTGAGGTGGTGACCATAGACCTGCATTATATGACTGATAGACTCAAACGGTTTGACCTAAAAATATCAAAATTGAAAATACTGTGGAAAAAAAGACACCTACATCTTGGATGCCCTTGAGGTAAGCTAAAACATATCAAAAATTAATTTTAAAGTGAACTATCCCTTTAACATATATATGTTCCAACAACTGTCTTGAGAGTTTAAAAATATGCAGATTTCGTGCATAAATCATTTTGTTTACAAATCAGACGCTTTGAATGAATATGAATAAATGAAAATTGGCATATAAAATGTTGTTTTTTATATTAAAAATATACTTTTTTCCCCAAAAAATGTTTAGCAAAATACCAACACTGATTCGACGTGATCACTTCAGAGGTTCCAGTTGCCTGTGTCGGGTATGTCCCAATACAGAATCACTCACACTTTTCTGTTAGGAAAAAATGACGACTCAATAGACGATACCATTGATATAGTATATACATTTCCAAGGTCAAACAAATATAATAATAATCATAAGCTTAAATAAATAGCAGTTATTTACTCACCACGGGCAGATCGAAAAGAATCATGGTTGATGTTCGAGTGAATCCATGTTCGTATTCACTGAGTCGGATCAACATGTCTTGTTTCTCTTTCCCCCATTGTCTGGAGTTCTCTTTGAGCTGCGCAAAATGACCGATATCACAAACACAAATGCCGTTGTGTTAAAAAAAAACATTATTTATTACAATTTCAAGTGTGTGTGTGTGTGTGTAAAAAACATAAATTCTATTGAGCTACACAGGAACAACAGGTAAATGTCATTTTTTTAGGACTTGCTTCTTTGGTAACAATATGATATAGGAAATAAAGAACAAATGGGAAAAGTCACTGGCCTGAAAGTCACTGTGTGTGAAAGTGAAATGTCTTCTCACTAGGGTTGGGTATCGAGAATCGAGTATCGATTGGAACCGGGACTAACGTTTAGTTTTTCCCGGAATCGTTCAAAAGTAAAAATTTCGATTCCTAGTTTCGATATTCGCAGTCCGCCGAGCGGAAGAAGAAACCGCTGAACAACACCAATGAAGAAGCGTCTACCGGAAGTGTTGGCATAACCGCGCGAGTCGAACATGAGTAGCTTACGTCGGCGGTCCAAAGTGTGGCTTCACTTTTATAAAAATAACGAAATCTCGGCAAAATTTGTGACAGGAGTATTTCCTTCAGAAAGGATTATTTCCTTCAGAAAGACTGTTGGTTAGCAAGGTTAGCTAAACTTTTTTGACCCTGCCTCTTAAAAGAATCGGAATCGAGAATCGTTAGGAACCGGAATCGAAACAAGGAATCGGAATCAGAATCGTTCAAATTCAAACGATACCCAACCCTACTTCTCACAGTATTAAAGGATCAAACCTGTTGTTCCAGTGTCTGGATTCGACCCTCAGCTCTCGCCAGCTGCGTCAATAACTCCAGCTTCTCGCTGTCAGAGAAAGGCTGATGGGACTGAGATAAAAAACCATTAGTAAAATGTGCACACTAAAGCATTCATGTAGAATCCCAGACAGCAACTTAATGTCGGTCCAGATCCGGGCCACATGCGTTTGCTGTCTGAGATGGCTGCTGTTTGAGGTCACCTGCACAGGCGGCTGGATGATGATAGGTGGGGGTAGATTATGCTGCCTGTCCAGCTCTGCTCGGAGTCGAGAGTTTTCTGCCGCCAGCACAGACTCGATCTCTCTACTCTTGAGCTGCTCTTCATCTATATACAACAGCACGACTACTTGTCAGTGGCAATTTCTGAAAAGCTTGTCCACACTTTTTATTGACAAAGAGAGGACCGGAAATTATGGAGACATGACGCAGATTTCCAATATGAGCACCACAAACACTAAGCCATGGGTCTGACCAATAAATTATAACTGAAATGTTTTGTGTGTGGTGTAAAGGCACACCTTTCTGTTTCACAGCTGTTCTCTTCTTCTCTGAATGAACTTTATTTATTTCCTTCAGATTTGCATCCAATATTTTCTCCATCTTCTCAATGACCTGCACAGTGAATTAGACTCATTAGACATCAAATCCTTGCTAGATATGTAAAGAAATAGTTCAATCAACCATAACCAAGAGCGTGGAGGGAGTTTTTCCATGAACACACATAAAACAAAGGTTCAATAAGGTTCATTAGTTAACTACATTAAGAATGAATAATACTTCTCCAGCATTTGTTAATCTTTGTTAATGTTAATTTCAACATTTGTTAATATTTTATTAAAATCTTGTTAACATTAGTTAATGCACTGTGAACTAACATGAACAAGCAATGAACAACTGGATTTGTATTAACTAACGTTAATAAAGATGAACAAGTACAGTAACAAACGTATTGCTCATGGTTAGTTCGTGTTAGTTAATACATTAAATAATGTTTAATAAATGAACCTTATTGTAAAGTGTTAGCAATTATTATTTTTTCACCATTAGCCATCATATGTCCTCAGAGGACTTGGATTAAACCACTTGAGTCTTCATTTCACGGCGCCTTTATGTCCATTTAGGAGCTTCTAATACTAAAATAACACTATTACAATGACATATGAGTGAGAAATAATGACAGAATTTTAATTTTGGGGTGAATTTTCTTTTTGTCCTAAAGCCATGCTCTGGTCAGGATGCTGTGTTTTGATAGCTTTATTGTTTGGTGGTCGAAAAATGACAGAAACAGCGTACAGAAGAGCTAACCTTATCCTGTTGGCGAACTGTATCCTCCAGCAGAGTTATTTTACTGCCACGGGCCTGATATCTTTTTAGTGCCGCTTGCTGCTGTTGATGTGCTCTCTGCAGCTGGACAAACTCTTTCTCAATGTCGTTCTTCTGCAATGAGCAAAATAAAGAGCTAAAAACTGGCTCGATGAGTCCATGGCATGCAGTGGGTCTGGATTAAGGCTTGCGTATTTTTAGCTTTGTATCAAATGCAACAAGCAATATGCCATGCAGTCTGGAGACAAATTGAATGACCTGATCCAATCAATGATATTGGGAGGAAACCATTAACGCATTTGATACAGCATCTCCTAAATGGCAGCAAACCTCACAAATGTATGCAAGTCAATGGACCCCTTGAGCTTCAGAAAGGAAACACGCGGTCTCTGAGCACTGCTGCAGCTTTTATTAAAAGCTTGACCGGCCTTGATTAACCCACCCTGATGAGCTCGTTTTGAAGCTGTTGGATTCTGTCCTTCTGGGCAGCGGCTTTGCTGCTTTCACTGGAGAGCTTGAACTTCAGAGAGGCTGCAGAAAGTGTCGTAGAAGATTAATGAGTGCATAATGAACCAGCAAACATGTTACAATGAAACAGACCATTGTATAAAATAAATTCAAAAATGTATTCATCTCTTCCTTCTTTTTCTTTTAAAGACAACCCCAGCTATTAAAACATGTTCTGAAAATGTTTAGTGAATGTTCCCATTAAGTTATGAAATAAATTATCATTTATTTCAAAATGTTCTCTGAATGTGCAAAACATTTAAAGGGACACTCCACTTTTTTTGGAAATAGGCTCATTTTACCAGAGTTAAACAGTTGGGTTTTACCGTTTTCGAATCCATTCAGCCGATTTTCTGATATTTAGAAGAATATCAGTAACCAGACAGTTTCTGGTCCCATTGACTTCCATAGTAGGAAAAAATATACTATAAATATATAAACTTTTGAGAAACTTCTGTTGCACTATTTATACACCATAAATATGAAGGAATTATCTGTATTGTTTTTTTTTATTTTTTTTTTTACTTGTATTTTGAATTAAACATTGCATTAGGTTGTGTTTTAAGGGTTTACGGTAATTTTTGTAAATTGTTAGAAAATTACCAGTACATTTTTCACAGTGTCGATGGGGATATATATATTTCTGTTTCTATTAAATTGAATATATAGATCATTTAATAAAGAAGTATTTATGATTAAGACACGATCTGTTTTCTGAGCATTGCAGAAACATCAACAAATGGTGTGACCATGACACTGTGGAGATATTTTTGGAGAAAACATCCCAGAACCGATCTAAACGCCTGAAAGCCAAGCAGTGCATTCACCAGAGAGAGAGGAAATTAAAGCCTGCATCTGCTTTGAAGGCCTCAAAGGTCTTTGACGTGTCCTTTAAGCGGAGCCTTGTGTTTGTGTGCATATGAGTGTGTGAGGGACACAAACTGTCCTTCAGCAGATAAGCCAGAAAGTGCTTATCAGATTCCCTTAGCTAAATGAGAAGTCTTATCAATCCTCAGCACAGCTCAGCGGACATGAAACCTGTGCAAATCACTTCAGGCTCAACTTTTAACATTTGAAATGTGATACTGCAAGAGTTGCTTCCCAAAACTTCTGTCTGATGTTGTTTAATTTTTTTCGGCATGTAGCCTACATAACTTCTTCTCTCCATGTTAATTAGCACTTTTAACTAACTATAGCAAGCTAACTATTGCTAATGCTACCAGTCAGTATAATGTTAGTTTTGAATGATCAGTGTTGATTATTTGTGCTATAGACCCTTCAGACTACCATAGTGTGTTGTTCGCTAAGCAAGAATACTTTACATTAAGTAAGGAGATAATTTGTAAGTTTATGCTAACTGCCGACATGAATGATACAAAGCAGTGCATGCTAAAACTCACTCATAGCACCTTAATGATGTTTTCTAAGCAAACAAACTTTTACTAAAAACTATTAGCAATTAATCAGACCATAATTTGTATGTTCATGCTACAGACATCAATAATACCTAAAATCACTTGCCCGTAAAAACCCCTTAGTGGTGTTAGTAAGCCGACTATTGCTAATAGCAACTTATCGTTAGGCTAGGTATATCAGAGCATAATTAGTTTATTTTTGCTATGGGAATGATGGCTAAAAACCAGACAGAACAGCTTAGTGGTGTGCTGACTACTTAAAATCAGTGTAATTTTTTAGTTAGCGAACATAAGTGATAAACTCATGCGCTAAAAATCATTCATAACACTAAGAAAAAGCAAGCTAACTATTGCTGGTATTTACCAAAAGTAGCCTTATAATCTTCAGAGCAGTCAATCCAAAGCTATCTAACGACCAATTTGTACGATTTGTCTAAAACCAAAGTGAGGCAAAATGAATTAGGCAAAAGGGCCAAATACGATTTGGCAAAAATTGCACTGTGAGGTTGTACGAATTAGCCACCTCGTAAAATGCATACAAATTGCCTTGAGATCGGGTTGTGTGGTAAAGACATGAATGATACTTCAAATAATTTGCTAAATAGTGTTTTCTCAAAACCAACTATTGCTAATACTTAATGTTATACTAATCTAGATGGTAGCTACTGTGATACTGGAAATCATTAGCTAACATCACACATTAGCATTGGTGCATTAGCATTAGTAACTTTGCGCTATTGACTTTCGGGCATTGTGGCGGCGGTTTTAAAATGTAAAAATGTAATATATTATGCCAGGATGGATATTATGATATAGAAAACTGAGATGATTTTATCCAAAGAACATTTTTGACTGGTTACCCTTGACTAATGATGGGTCTATGCTTTTGAAATGAGATTTTAGTGGAGAGAAATTCTACCAATCCGGTCAGTAATCTCGGTCTTGGTCATGATGTCCACGTCGGTGTCGTCCAGCAGGCTTTGGCCCAGGTCCTGATGCCGGGAGAGGTCGTGTCGGAGACGACGGTTCTCAGACTCCAGTCCGCTCACCTGAGAGCGCAGGCCAACGATGTCATCCGCCATCTTATGCATAGCCGCATGATAGTTTTTCAAGTCCTAGAGGAGATATAAAAATGGATTTGTACACACAAAATGATCTGCAAATATAGATTGCAAATGTGAACCATCAATGTCCATTCAGGATATTATTTCTAAGTATAATACAGCAAGAAAATGGCAAGAGCAGAAACCAGCGATACCATGGTACTTTGATATGTGGCCAACCAAAGTGTTTTATATAGGCTACACCAAGGTGCTTCAAAGAATACTTTGCATAACCATTTGTGTGTGTGTTGGGCATGATTGTTAATTCATCTTGACAATATTCTATTTGAACGCTTCAAGATTCAATATTGGAGGGATGCGAAGTGCTAGCGGATCAGAGAGAAAAATAATTAAAAAAATCAAAGACTATATCAATATATAGCTGACTTTATATTTTAGTAAGGAGTATCTTCATAACAGGATCATCATAGCTGGAGGTCATTGGCATAATTATTTTTGAAATGATTCGTTTGACATTAATGCAACGCTCAACTGTCTGGGAGGGGCAGATGCAGTTTCCCGCCACTAGGTGGAATCAAAGTCACATGTTCAGTCGGGATGTAAACACGATCTGAGCCTGACTAAATCTGCCCTAATAACATTCCTTTTTATGCTTTGCTTGAATCATTTCACCATTTTAAAAGTAAGGCAGATATACTGTCGTTTTTAAAGTTAAACAGCCGCTTTCATCAACTAGTTGCTAGCAGATATCCGAGCTAAAATGCTGTTACAGTCATTACTTATTTTTTGAAAAGTAACTAGCCTACTGAATGTGCACTTTTAGTGTACTTCAGATTAAAATAAAAAAATACATACAATTAAATTTATGACATGCATGTTTTAATAGGACTGACTGACATGCTAGATATTTTAGTTTACCACAGATGCTTGTCAGTTGCCTACTTCAGCAGTAGCTTTAATAAGCACTTTAACCATATTTTAAAGGCAATAGAATTATAGAATTACTACTTAAGTGGGCCGAAAAGCACTAGCATTAAACTCAGTTCACATTCAATATCCCCCTGTGGTGAAAAATCAAGCTTTTAATGTTGTGTAAATGCCTGTGTGGTGTTTTTAATGTGGTTTAAGACAAACCTTGTGTAAATGCATAAGTCAACACCATTGCTGAGTATTTTCTCCCGAGTCTCAAAAACGCGGTTTGAAATTGCTCGTGTTTCTGATTCTTGACGTCACTACCACAACTACCTTGTAACCAATCAGGTCAACGTAATTTGCATATTCATTGACCCGCGTATACTAAATAAGGCAAGGGTGACTTACATTCAAGCTATTTTTAAAAAAAAAAAAACTTTTACATTTGTCATTTTGTTTATCAAAGATGATTTTTAAGGGATACAATTATTGACTACAGGGGGACTTTAAGAAGGCTATATTCTTTTAAAATATATTATTTCTGTAATGTGCTGTACGAAAGCCCCCTGAGCGTCCCATATGCTCGTATAAGTGCTATTACTTAAAAAAGTGTACTTTTCACAAGCGTATTCACACAAATGTGATTAACAAAGTGTATAATACTATTGTGCAGTCATGTTGGCACATCTACATTTGTCAACATGTCTTTACCTTCATTCAATAGAACTGAACAATAGCATTTTTGAGACATTGTGTTGTGCTAAAAAGACAGCAGACCAGGGCCAGTGTGGGATGTGTCTCACTTCCAGGCATCCTTTTGTGCCATTGTGTTAGTCGCATGTCGCATGTCATGTAACATGCCACCGAGGCGTCTGCTTTTCACTCTGGGTCACTGTGTGCAGGAAGGGGGTCTGCGTTGGGGGTCGGTGCTCTGAAACGGGAGGGGTGGGAGAGGGACCGATTAGGCGATTCCAATCTGGGCCAGCGTGCTTGTGGCTCCCTGGGGTCGTCGGAAAGAAATTGAGCGCTTAATTGAAAGGGCACACATGCAAGGTGAGAATGATGATCGGTGATGAGATGGGGCCCGCGGAGGGGAGGAGACGGAGGGAATCATCTGAACCCAATGAAGAAGTGAATGGAGAGAGAGATTGGTCCCCGTAGACGCCGTAAACAGAGGTCCTGCGTAGTCTGCACTGTTGCTTCAAACAATCACATTAGAAAAGCACACATGTGCTGCTCTCGCTCTCTTTGTTTCTCAGCAGGGTGCTTTTGCAATGATTCCGATATGATGAGAAAAGCGAAGACTGTCCATTTCATCAAACCTTCATACTGTAGAATGAACACTCTACATGTAAGGGTCACCTTGAGATGGTCTGGAGGTTTTTATGTGAATTCCCAGAATAATGGTGTGAATAATCATGAAGAAAAATTAGGGGAAGACTCATAAATGGTATTAATCCCAGTGACGGGTAGGTTTAGGGACGGGTTGGGGTATATATACAGTAATGTAACGTTAAGTCAACAGCGTTCATAAACACGCTGAAAAGCGATTACGCGTGTTGATAGCGCGCCAAAAATGCAAATACGAATTGTCGTGTCATACATATGCCATTTCATGAGATCAGTCTGGTAGGTGAAAAACATTGCCTACTCTATCTTTAAACTTTCCAGTGAGCACCAGTGTTCGCCGCTTACACTATCAAATGGATACTCCGGATTCGTTCGGATGTACACTGTAAAAAATGGTCGTGATTTTAACGGTAAAAGACTGTGTAAAACTTTTAATTGGTTAACAGAACTTTTCCTTACTATATAAATAACTGTGATAGATCTAATGGTAAATTTCATGTAATTTTACTGTAAAATACCGTTAAATTTACAGTTTTTAAAGTGAAAATGAACAACTCATTGTATAATGTACAGTCAAAATCCGTAAATTGACATTCCCACAATTCCCTGCGTGATGCTTCACATTTGATGTATATTTTTGTTGAAATAACTTGTTTCTTCATTGTTTGCTTAGTCTTTTTCTAATCAGTTCTGTACATTAGGGTTTTATGTCACATTTAATGTTGTTAAATTAATGTTTATTGCCTTTTTAAAATTTCATGTGTGTTACCATGATGGTGTTTAATGTTTGAATGAATGACACTGTGCAGCTTCTATAAATTAATATTAAGACTCTTGAAAGAGTTGCATTGTGAGCTTGCATATATCATGCGTCTCATCACTGTTGTGATTGTAGGTTGTCAGTGTAATACAATGGTTTAAAAATACAATTGGTTGATAATTTAACAGTATATCAGATAATGAAATACGGGTTATTTCTGTTAATTTAAGTTAAATCTGTAAAACCTTGATACCGTAAAAATTTGCTACTGTATTTTATACGGTAAAGTTCTGGCAACCACAGCTGCCGGTATTTTACCGTAAATTGAACACATTTTTTTTTTACAGTGTATGCATATTCTAAGCATCCGCGTTAAAACTGAATTATACTTTCGGTCCAAGATGGAAAGTGGAGTTCACCTTAAGCCAATAACTCAAAGTCTGGTTGTGAATGAGTTTAAAAATCTCTGAGGAAAGGCAACAGTTCTGGGAAACTTCTAGCAGGAGGAAATTTTATTACTTACTTTAGTTTGATGTTCAGTGACTTCTCTTGCATGAGGATACTTTTTGAAATCAGGAAGTGATGAACTGAAAAGGAAATATTTACAGCAACAAATAAAAGTGAATGGAAATTATAGGTTCAAAAGCTGTAATAATAATTATAGTAGCCATCATGTGGTATTCTTTTACCTTTTTTTAGGTGAATGCACGTCAAAGGTTCGTTTGAGCCGAGAGTTTGACTTCTTCTGTGGTAGAGATTCTGTCCTGGTCTGAGTTTTAGGATTTTTGACGAGGTGAAGATAATCCAGGAGGATCTTTGAGACGGCGTCATGTGACGGCAAATCATAGGAATCCCTTTCCATCTGAGGGGAAAAACAAACGGCACGTTTCAAGAAAACTGCAATATTGCAGTGTTTACTATCTTCCAATAACTTCTCTCTTTTACAGAAAGTTCTCTTCTTTGATGATGTGTTTACTGGCGCGAGGGCGGGGCAACCTGTCACTCACATGAGATCGACCAATAGCAAACCACAACCATCCAATCAATTCCCAATGGACAAAATCAAGTCCCGCCCTACATTTGTTCTTGTTCGAGAAGTCAACATGACTTTTGCGTAAACATACACTCCACTTTGAAGTCAAGTGGCGTGTTATCTATACGCATTTTGAGCTATGCGTGTATGTCTATGCCATTAATGTCCGAGTGATTCCGCGTGTATGTACACGCCGTTAAATGTCAGAGCGAAACAAAGCAAAATGTAGATCTACATCTGGCCCAGTGACGGGTAGGTTTAGGGATGGGATTGGGGTAGGTCCTATATATTTATATATACAGTAATAATGTTAAGTCAACGGCGTTCATAAACACGCTGAAAAGCGATTATGCGTGTTGATAGCACGCCAAAAATGGAAATACGAATTGGCCATTTCATGAAATCAGTCTGCTAGACAACAAACATCAAGCTACTACAGTGTATTATATATCCCAGTATTTACAGAGCAGGTTACTGGCCTGTAATATTTCAGCATTTTCAAAAATTTATTGTAATAAACTACATATACAGTATAGAGCCAGACCGATATATCGGCAGACCGATATTAGGCATTTTCCAAACTATCGGTATCGGCAGTTATAATGGCCGATAAATTAATATTTCAAAAATAAAATAAAAACAGACGAAACACGCTTGAACCATGTCATGAGTGTTGGAGTTGTATAGTTTGTCCACCAGAGGGCACTCTACAACGTTCCTGTTGGCAACACTCGTTGAGTTGGTCACGATACATACATTGCTTGAATAACAATTAAAAGAACATCCCCATCAGTTCTCTTAACTCAAATAAGCATGACAAAATTTGTGACTATCATGTCCAGTTTCAAATAGATAAATAAAATATCGGCCGATATATCGGAATATCGGATTTTAAAACCCAAAAATATTTGTATCGGTATCAGCCTTCAAAATTCTTTATCGGTCGGGCTCTAATACAATACTCATAAAATTCAAACTGTGGCCACTTAGAGAGTCATTGCCAAACACAGTTATTGGCAGCCTTACAGTATGCTTTTGTCTCAATGTAATGCAAATAGGACAGAAGTCCAACTACCACCAACCCATCTCGTTCCAACACACTCACACACTCCCTGTGTGACCTCGCTCTTTCTCTATTCACTCAACTAGGATCCCGTTTCTTCTCCATTCTACCATAAGCCATCATACGCAAATACCTGTTCTGAGATCAGCAGTAAAGGCCTTCAGCTCACCAGCATCTGTTAACAGGTAATTTACCTGTGCGCTCGCAGGTTCACTCTGTGGATTCTCCGAGTTCTGCATGAGGCTGAAAGGTTCAGAGATCTTGTCAGGAATATTAAATAGAGGAATGAATGGCTGGATGAAGAGACAGCTCTGACTCTGTTAGCAACCTGAGCTCGGGTTACCACAACACAAACCCTGCCTGGCAACATTTACAGCCGCTAAACAGAAAGCACAACATTCATGCTAATCAAGGTCACAGATACAGTGAGAGACAACAATACTTCAATATACATGTACAATTTGAAATATACAATGAAATATACAAATAATAAAAATATATTAAAAAATATAGCTATATAAATTTTAAAAATGTAGAAATTTCCCTGAAGTTTAATACATGAAAAAAAAACTTTTTGATAAATGATAATGTATAGCCACACTGTAAAAAATATTTTCAAGATTTGTTATCACAACATATTTTCTTTTGTCAAATCAACTTTATATTAATTTATTTAGTTGAGATAACTTATTATTTTGAGTTTCTGATGGTTAAATTAATCTCCTTCATTGTATTAACTCACTTTTTCCAGTTCAATCAACTTAAAATTTTAAGGCAACCCAGGTTACTTTTACAGTGTAGTAATCACAACATTTTTTTCTTTTGTCAAATCAACTTAAATAATTTATTTAGTTGAGATAACTTATTATTTTGAGTTTCTGATGGTTAAATTAATCTACTTCATTGTATTAACTCACTTTTTCCAGTTCAATGAACTTAAAATTAAGGCAACCAGGTTACTTATTTTTTAAAGTTAAACCATCAATATTTTTTTACAGTGCACCCTGAATAAAAATAAAAATAAAAAGCCACCCTGGGCCCTTTGCTATATAGTTGTCGATGTAAATTTCTCTTGATTATGGCGCTGACATTGAAATCACATGACCTCCAATTAGGCAGATACAGGTGTCAGTATAAAGTCAAAGGCAAATTGGCTAGGAAAACGTATACAGTTTTTCAATGTCTAACCTGCACCATGTTGTTTCCTGAAAGGCCATGTTAAATCAATGGCGCTGTGGTCTGGACTGTGGCACACGGGTCTGTAGCAGGAGATTGATGAGCAGTGACTGCTAATGACTTCTGCTCATGCTGTGAGGAGCTCGTTCCTTATTCTGTCAGCTCAGCACGACACCTGTACACTTCCAAATACAATGTGTTCCTCTCCCCGAGCCAAAGGTTACCGCATATTAATATTCATTAAGTGCCACCATGACAATCTGACAACAATGAACTCTGAATATTATGGGTTTGCTTTATAGAACGGGATTTAAAAAAGGATTTTCTGAAACCAGGCTGCAGGTTAATCGGTATATGTTGTCAGAACCATGATGAAATGGACATACTATACGATTAGCCTATCATGACATAGGTCATTTGCATACCGAGATTTTAAAGGTAAAAAAAAAATGGAACAAAAAGGGTGGAAAATACTTTTACCATGTGAAAATACTTAGTTTGACATTATAAATACAATAAAATAGTCTTTACCTACCTCTTTTAACTATTAACTGTTTTAAATTTAAATATATTTTAAAATGTAATTTATTCCTGTGATCAAAACTGAATTTTCAGCATCATCACTCGAGTCAGTGTCACATGATCCTTCAGAAATCACTCTAATATGATGATTTGCTGCTCAAAAAACATTATTATTGTGCTTAATGTTTATTTCAGGATTCTTTGATGCACGGAAAGTTATAATAAATTACTTTACTGTCACTTTTACCAATTTAATGCATCCTTTAAATTCTGAATAAAAGTATTAAACTCAAAACAAAAATCTTAACATACTGAAATAAAAAATGAAATACACCGGCATTAATAATGGTTTTATCTTAAGGCTGTGTGTGTGTCAATCACATCCAGATGAGCCTGTTTATCACATCACTCTCATGAGACAAAAAGCAATACTGCGGCAAACAGCCATGCTGAGTCCAATAACAATATGCAATTAGTTTAAACAAGACAGCTTTCTTTTTTTGAATAAAAAAAGAGGCAATAATGTGAGGCAATAATTGCTATTGTTTAGGATTTTCATTTCTTTAAATTACTTCCATTTAAAAATAACAATGTGAATTAATCAAATGATTCGTCTCTCTAACTTGTATTACTATGGCAACACCGCAGACCAAAACCAATCAAGAGTGCAGCAGAGAATTTCCCAACCATACGAACACTTGATCACGCCAGTCAAACAAAAACAAAATAAAACAAGACTAAAACAAAAAATGCGGCTTATTTGATTCTCATGGCAAAATCAAAGACATTTTTCTTTTTGAATTAATAAAATTAATTGCATGTCTTGTATATTTTCAATTTGTGGAAGTCTGAGCAAATTATTCTCCCAGACTCTTTCCTCTCAGGCTTAAAATATTAACCATAAGGAAGAACTAATAAGGTAAATATTACTCCTCCAAACCAACTACTTAAATTCCCAATGAATTATTCACTCTGTCCTTGCAGCTATGTGCTCTGAAAGAGACGACGAGAGTAGGAGAGAAAGCAAACCGCATCGAACCTTCATTTCAGATTCAGACCAGCCGAACGTCCGCTACCTGAGGCTGAGCCGAGACCTGGCCCGGATCTGGGGGTGTGAGGGGAGAGAGAGAGACTGACAGACGGGGTAAGAGAGCTGTGACACTAGATTGGCCGGTGATTGCGGTGTGCCGTACGGTCTGTGCTTGTCTTTTCATCCCTGCATCTGTATTCAGCACACACTCTGCTAAACACAGCAAATGGGGCTTCAGGAGACTGACAGGACTGAGTCTGCCGCCACACGGAGCTCAATTACCCTCAGAACGGGGCGACGTCTCCAGAGTCCTCTCCAGTGAGATGCTCTCGGCCCTTTTCGCTTCATTTGTCCTTTTCCTGTATGCTTTTAGGTTCACCTTTTGTCTATTTTTAACACCACATTATTTGACGTAATAATCGCACGTTTTAAAAACAGATATCTTGAGAACACAACACACTCAAAACACAATTCTTAAATGTTTTTGAGGAATATTGCAGTATTCATTATAACTGATTTATCTCTGCACATCTTTATACACTCTCAGAAAAAAGGTACAAAAGCTGTCACTGGGGTTGTAACTTTTCAAAAGGTACTTTTGTACCTTAAGGGTGCATATTGGTACCTTAATGGTACATATTAGCACCTAAAATTAACATATATCAACACTTAAACTGTACATATTAGTACCTGAAATGTACATATTAGCACCTATTAGCACCTAAAATGTACATATCAACACTTAAAATGTACATATTAGTACCTGAAATGTACATATTAGCATCTATTAGCACCTAAAATGTACATATCAACACTTAAAATGTACATATTAGTACCTGAAATGTACATATTAGCATCTATTAGCACCTAAAATGTACATATCAACACTTAAAATGTACATATTTGTACCTAAAATGGACAAAAGTGTACCTTTTGAAAAGGTACAGCCCCAGTGACAGCTTTCGTACCTTTTTTCTGAGAGTGTATGAGATCCACCAATAGCAAACCATCCAATCAATTCCCATCAAGTCCCGCCCT